TACTTGTACTGTCACATATATATACTCTTGCTCTTGCTTGCTTAGCCTCTTTTATATATATATATATATGTGATCTTGCATGTGAACTGGCCTTTTGGCCTTTGAACTTGTGCTCGGATTGTGTGGTGACTTTGTGATCCACCCTGAGCTTTGCTTTGCTTTGCTTGACTGGTCTTGTGACCCCTTGTTCTCCCCCACTTTGCCTATGGGGGTGTGTCAGAACATTATAGCTTATATATTTGTGTAGGCTATAGTGGGGTATCCCATAGGGGGTACAACCCAATCAGGGTTTCCTGTATGTACTCACTTCATTCATAGTTGATTCATTCTCGTTCTACTTTTCTCAGGGTCATGGACACAATTTTGGGAATCTTTAATTCAACGTTTCGAACTAATCAACTCCAGCTACATGGCGCGGCAGCAGATTCATCTGCACAAACAGTTCGGCAGTGTAACACAGTACACGCAGCAGATGGAGAGCCTCTTCAACTGAATTACCGACCTGACCGAAGGGGAACAAATCCCAGCGTATACTGAGGGGCTAAAAATGGATGTCCGGCAAGAGGTGATTGCCGCGAACTACAACAACTACCGCGACATGGTGTGTGCAGCTGAGAGATTCGATGCGCTTATGCGATGTGAACCCGAGACACGACGCCACGTGTCGAATATATCATTCGACACAAAGCGATCGGCACCACCCACGACCGCCAATCCGATGGATATCGACAAGATCGACACGAAGCAGCGGCCGACAAAATATGAGAACTGCGAATTTTGTGGCGCAGTAGGACATCGATTCTTGGCGTGTTGGAAAGTGAAGAAGGCACGAGCATGTTAGAATTTATATGTAACTGCCTGTAGCTGTAGTTTAGTGTAGTTATTATAAACTGTTGGTGGTGCACCTTCTTTGCATGCTCTGTTTACTATATGTACCCTAGTGCTGTAGTGAACATCACTTTTCCCATTCTCGACTCTCACCTTGGCACAACCTCCTCGACTTCCCCTAGGCCTAGGCTACTAAGCCTAGGTCCTACCTAAAACCTAAGCTTACTCTTACTTAGTATCTCAACAGAGCAGAGCTGCAGAGCAACAACAGTGCGACATCCACGATGGCGAAAAAAGGAGGACACGATGGCACGAATTTAAAACGCCACGACCGGCCGGCAACAGGGGAAATCGCCGAGACAAATGAAGGCTCCGCGAAACAAGACTCTGCACCGATCGGGAAACTCCAGCAGAACACCCCCGAGACTAAGAATATTCCCTCTCGAGGTTTTCAAGCCTTTAAAAATTGCAGGGGAGATTTCGAGGCCAAGAAAAAGCCTTCACACATTATTCAAGTACCTGAGAAGTTGGGCAAACCACTCTGGGGCGTTGAAAAGGGTCGTGCGTTCCAAGGAGTTAATATTCTCTCCCCGCAACATAGTGTTAAGGCTCCCCATGTTGTTCAGGATCCGTCACTTTGAGAACTTACGACGAACTGATTTCTTAACTAAACGCAAATCCGCTTAGTAGGAAGTTGCGCCTTAGGCTTAGCTACCATCTCCAAGTTGAATCAGTCGTTAAGATGGTCTACAGAGTGAGAACCATATGAAAACGTCCAGCAGCCGCATGACTAGAATGGTGGAGGAAGTACAAGCATTAAGGCATAGGAAGTTGGAGTTGGGAACCTCCAAGAGAACCATGAGAGGGAAGGGGTTCTCCAAGAGCTAGGGAAGGATGGTGGGAACCTTCCTAGCAGCAAGGATGCAACCCTCATCATGAAGTCCTTGAGGTGTCACATGCAAAATCCAATCTAGTTAGATTTTGCATAGGTGTTGCAACATTTGCAACCCATGTTAGAAACTTCTAGCCACCCCAATCCAAAAGTCAAAGTTGCCTTCCCTAACCACCCAACCAAAGATCCCTTTATAGTCATGTCCCAAGTAATCACCCAAATTAGATATAACTCCAAAAGGTAATAAGAAATCCAAGTCTTGGAAATCTTGTAACTTGGGCGATCTTGGTAGGAATAAGGCGATCTTGGTATCGTTGGAAAGCTCTGGATTTCTCCTGCATGATCAAGCATTTAGACTTGGAGAAAAACACAGAGATGATAATATCCAACAACCATGTACAATGACATATGCTCATGCAAATCATGCAAGCACAAATAGCACGAGCACTCGACAAGACGTTAGGATGACATGCACTCAGAATGACGTGCATCCAACACCCCATTGCCCACAAGAGAAGCCTACACAGCTGCAAAGGCTTAAGAGAAGGTTCCAGGCCAAGACGAAGCTGAATCGGCCTCGGATAAATCCTTCTAACCCAACTCAGTTGAAAACTGATATGGAGTCAGCAGCTTCGAGCGCAGGACCGAGGGATGATCTATTCAACGTACCCTACGATCCTATAAGCGAGACCATCTACGGTTACTCGGAGCAGCAACAACCACTACTACTCGAGGTGATCTGCAACGGGCGACGCCTCCAGGCACTGGTGGACAGTGGTGCGTCCCACTCGGTGTGCGACCGCGGGACGTTGGAGAAAATTGGAGAATCTTCGGAGGAGACCAAGTTCACGGCAACGATGGTGGACGGTACGAAACTTCCCATCCACGGCGAAGCATCACTGCAGCTGCACATATGGGCGCTGAGGTGGAAGCCGACGTTGCCGATCACAAACATCAAGGGATCAGATTTCATCTTGGGGCGAGATTTCTTGAAGCGGTTCAACCCCGAGATCGACTGGGTCAACATGAAGGCGTGCATCTACAACAACGGGAAACGAGTGGAGCTGCGAAGCTGGACGGATAGAGGGAGCGTTTCTGAAATGACACTAGCACGGTTCGAACGGACGGTGAACAAGAGTAACACGGGTTACTTAGCACTGGTTATCGCAGCAGCAGAGGAGGAGAAGCCGAGTTCGGAGCTACCTGCAGCAGCGAAGGAGGTCTTGGAGCAGTTAAGGATATAATGCTCGACGACCTACCTGCAGGCGTACCTCCAGCACGCACCCATGAGCACGAGATCGTGGAGGAACCAGATCAAGATGGCGGACAACTCGATCCACAAGACGACGTTCCGTACCAGATACGGCTCCTACGAATACTTGGTGATGCCGTTCGGACTCTGCAACGCACCAGCAACGTTTCAGGCGGAGATGAATCATATCCTACGGCCCCTGCTGGACGAGTGCGTAGTGGTTTACCTGGACGACATTCTCATCTACTCCAAGAATATGAATGAGCACGTGGAGCATCTGCGGAAGGTGTTCGAGATCCTGCGGAAAAACAAGTTCTACTTAAAGCTGTCGAAGAGCGACTTTGCACTGAAGAAGGTGCAGTTTCTCGGGCACATGGTGAGTGCCGAGGGAGTACACGTGGACCCGCGGAAGATCGAAGCCGAGGGTTTGGATGGGAGGTGAGAGACCGATCATGCTCGCAACCCTCCCACGCCCTTGCTAGCTTAAGAATAGGCCCAGACAAGCGCAGCCACGTGACTCGGCAGAAGAAAAATGCTCGGAACGAGCGCTTCCACCCCCAAAATGCGGAAGGATCCGCACATGCGCAGGAAGTGCAGCTGGCGCTCATCATTCGCGTGCGCCGATGACAGGTGATGCTCGCAACCCTCCCATGCCCTTGCTGGCTTGGTAATAGGCCCAGACAAATGCAGCCACGTGACCCGACGGAAGAAAAACGCTCGTAACGAGCGCTTCCACCCCCAAAACGCGGAAGGATCCGCACATGTGCTCGAAGTGCAGCGGGCGCTCTTGATTCGCGAGCGCCGATGACCGATGATGCTCGGAACCCTCCCACGTCCTTGCTGGCTTGGTAATAGGCCCAAAAAAGTGCAGCCACGTGACCCGGTGGAAGAAAAACGCTTAGAACGAGCGCTTCCGCCCCCAAAACGCGGAAGGATCCGCACATGTGCAGGAAGTGCAGCGGGCGCTCTTCATTCGCGAGCGCCGATAACCGATGATGCTTGCAACCCTCCCACACCCTTGCTGGCTTGGTAATAGGCACAGACAAGTGCAGCCGCGTGACCCGGTGGAAAAAAAAATCTTGGAACGAGCGCTTCCACCCCCAAAATGCGGAAGGATCCGCACATGTGCAGGAAGTGCCGCGAGCGCTCTTCATTCGCGAGCGCCGATGACCGATGATGCTCACAGCCCTCCCACGCCCTTGCTGGCCTTGTAATAAGCCCAGAAAAGCGCAGCCACACGACCCAGTAGAAGAAAACGCTCAGAGTGAGTGCTTCCACCCCCAAAACGCGGAAGGATCCGCACATGTGCAAGAAGTGCAGCAGACACTTTTCATTCGCAAACGCCTGTCGAACTTATATGCTATAGTCTGTTTAGGCTGTAGTGGGGTAGTCAATATGGGGTACAACACTTTAGGGTTTCCTACTTGTACTCCTCATGCTGCTCAGTGCAATCATTCCTCGTTTCATTCTCACACCGCCGATGACCGATGATGCTCGCAACCCTCCCACGCCCTTGCTCGCTTGGTAATAGGCCCAGACAAGTGCAGCCACGTGACTGGCAGAAGAAAAACGCTCGGAACGAGCGCTGCCACCCCCAAAACGCGGAAGGGCGCATGTGCAGGAAGTGCAGCGAGCGCTCTTCATTCGCGAGCGCCGATGACCAATGATGCTCGCAACTCTCCCACGCCCTTGCTGGCTTGGTAATAGGTCCAGACAAGCGCAACCACGTGACCTGGCGGAAGAAAAACGCTCGGAACGAGCGCTTACACCTAAAAAACGCGGAAGGATCCGCGAATGTGTAGGAAGTGCAGCGTTCGCTCTTCATCGCGAGCGACGATGAATGATGATGCTCACAACCCTACCACACCCTTGCTGGCTTGGTCATAGGCCTAGACAAGCGCAGCCATGTGACCTCGCAAAAGAAAAACGTTTGGAACGAGCGCTTCCTGTGAAGAAATGAGGAATGAATGAACTAGCAAGCAGGTGGGTACAAGTAGGAAAACCTAAGAGTGTTGTACCCCATATTGTCTACTCCACTACAGCCTACACAGACTATAGCATATGAGTTTGACATACCCCCATAGGCAAAGTGGGGGAGAACAAGAGGTAACATGACCAGTCAAGCAAAGCAAAGCAAGTTCAGGGTGGATCACAACGTCACCACACATTCTGAGCACAAAAGCAAGGCCACAAGGCCAGTTCACATGCAAGATCATATATAAGGGTAAACAAGCAAGTGCAGGTATAGAAAGATCACAGTACAAGCGAGGTCAAGAAGTGAGCAAGTGAGGCCAAGTAGACACAAGACCTAGCATCGTACAAAAGCGCTGATGATCACAAGGCAGAAGTGCCTTGGTAAAGATATCAGCAGTGTTGGCCTCAGAGGCCACGTAAGCAAGGCGCAGCTGACCACGCTGCTGCAGCTCACTAGCAAGGAAGTAGCGAAGAGCAATGTGCTTCGTTCTGTGCTCCAGTCTGTGCTCCCGACACAAGGCCAGCATGGCCTTGTTGTCTATGTACAGAACTGGAGGAGAACGAGGCGGCTCTCCGAGGTCAGTCAGCAGGTAGGTGAGCCAGCGTAGCTCCTGTGCAGCCATGGCCCCAGCGTAGATCTCAGCCTCAAGCTGGAGCCGAGAACAGAAGACGAGCGGGTAGACCGCCACGAGACAGAGCCAGAGCCAAGGCTGAAGGTGTAACCCTGTGACGACCGCTGCGTAGCCTGGTCGTCAGCCCAAGAAGCGTCTGCGTGACCTGTGAGGACCACTGGACATCGCCCTCCAAGCACTAGCCCCATGCCCGACGTACTGCACAAGTAGCGCAACACCCTCTTCGCTGCAGCCATGTGCTCTGGTCGGTGTCTCCCAGGAGCAATATAGCGTGCCAAGATGCTAAGAGGGTATGCAAGGTCAGGTCGTGTGCCACATCCACGTCCGCGTCCACGTCCACGTCCACGTCCACGACCACGTCCACGTCCACGTCCACGTCCACAACCACGTCCACGTCCACGTCCACCACGTCCACGTCCACGTCCACGTCCGCGTCCACGACCGCGTCCACGACCACGACCACGTCCACGTCCACGACCGCGTGCACGTCCACGACCACGTCCACGACCACGTCCACGTCCACGTCCACGTCCACGTCCACGTGCACGTGCACGTGCACATCCACGTCCACGTCCACGTCCACGACCACGTCCACGTCCACGTCCACGACCGCGTCCAAGTGCACGTCCACGTCCACGTCCACGACCACGTCCACGTCCACATCCACGTCGACGTCCACGACCACGTCCACGTCCACGTCCACGACCACGTCCACGTCGACGTCGACGTCGACGTCCACGTCCAAGTCCACGACCACGTCCACGTCCACGTCCACATCCTCGTCCACGTCAAGGTCCACGTCCACGACCACATCCACGTCCACGTCCACGTCCACGTCACTGTCCGCGTCCACGTCCGCGTCTGCGACCACGTCCGCGTCCACGTCCACGACCACGTCCACGTCCGCGTCCACGACCACGACCACGTCCACGTCCGCGTCCACGTCCCCATCCACGTCCACGTCCGTCCACGTCCACGACTGCGTCCACGTCCGCGTCCGCGTCCATGCCACGTCCACGTCCACGACCAGTTCCACGTCCACGTCCACGTCCACGTCCACGACCACGTCCACGTCCACGAGCACGTCCACGTCCACGTCCACGTCCACGACCACGACCACGTCCACGTCCACGTCCACGACCACGACCACGTCCACGTCCACGACCACTTCAACGTCCACGTCCACGACCACGACCACGTCCACGTCCACGTGCACGACCACGACCACATCCACGTCCACGTGCATGTCCACGTCCACGGCCACCACGTCCACGTCCACGACGTCCAAGTCCACGTCCACGACCGCGTCCACGACCACGTCTACGTCCACGTCCACGTCCGCGTCCACGTCCACGTCCACGTCCGCGTCCACGTCCACGTCCACGTCCGCGTCCGCGACCACGTCCACGTCCACGTCCACGACCACGTCCACGTCCACGTCCACGACCACGTCCACGTCCACGACCACGACCACGACCACGTCCACGTCCACGACCACGTCCACGTCGACGTCCACGACCACGTCCACGTCGACGTCCACGACCACGTCCACGTCCACGACCACGTCCACGTCCACGACCACGACCACGTCCACCTCCACGTCCACGTCCACGACCACGACCACGTCCACGTCCACGACCACTTCAACGTCCACGTCCATGACCACGACCACGTCCACGTCCACGTGCACGTCCACGTCCACGGCCACCACGTCCACGTCCACGACGTCCAAGTCCATGTCCACGACCGCGTCCACGTCCACGACCAGGTCTACGTCCACGTCCACGTCCGCTTCCACGTCCACGTCCACGTCCACGTCCGCGTCCGCGTCCACGACCACGTCCACGTCCACGTCCGCGTCCGCGTCCACGACCACGTCCACGACCACGTCCACGTCCACGTCCACGACCACGTCCACGTCCGCGTCCACGTCCGCGTCCACGACCACGTCCACGTCCGCGTCCACGTCCACGTCCACGTCCACGTCCACGACCACGACCACGTCCACGTCCACGTCCACGACCACGTCCACGTCCACGTCCACGACCACGTCCACGTCCACGACCACGTCCACGTCCACGTCCACGACCACGTCCACGTCGACGTCCACGTCCACGTCCACGACCACGACCACGTCCTGGTCCACGTCCACGACCACGTCCGCGTCCACGTCCGCGTCCACGACCGCGTCCACGTCCGCGTCCACGACCGCGTCCACGTCCGCGACCACGTCCACGTCCGCGTCCGCGACCACGTCCACGCCCGCGTCCACGTCCACGTCCGCGTCCACGACCACGTCCACGTCCGCGTCCACGACCACGTCCACGTCCACGTCCAAGTCCACGTCCACGTCCACGTCGACGTCCACGTCCACGTCCAGGACCACGTCCACGTCCAAGTCTAGGTCCACGTCCACGTCTACGACCACGTCCACGTCCACGTCCACGACCACGACCACGTCCACGACCACGTCCACGACCACGTCCACGACCACGACCACGTCCACGACCACGTCCACGTCCACGACCACGTCCACGTCCGCGTCCACGTCCACGTCCACGTCCGCGTCCGCGTCCACGACCACGTCCGCGTCCGCGTCCCCGTCCACGACCACGTCCACGACCACGTCCGCGTCCGCGTCCTCGTCCACGACCACGTCCACGTCCACGTCCACGACCACGTCCACGTCCACGTCCACGACCACGTCCACGTCCAGGTCCACGTCCACGTCCACGTCCACGTCCAGGTCCACGTCCACGACCACGTCCAGGTCCACGTCCATGTCCACTTCCAGGTCCACGTCCGCGTCCACGACCGCGTCCACGTCTACGTCCACGACCACGTCCGCGTCCACGTCCCCCACGTCCGCGTCCACGTCCACGTCCGCGTCTACGTCCACGTCCACGTCCGCGTCCGCGTCCGCGTCCACGACCATGTCCACGTCTGCGTCCAGGTCCATGTCCATGTCGAGGTCAAGGTTAACGTCCACGTCCACGTCCACGTCCAGGTCCACGTCCACGTCCACGTCCAGGTCCAGGTCCACGTCCACGTCCACGTCCACGTCCTCGCCAACGTCCACGTCCACGTCCTCGCCAACGTCCACGTCCACGTCCACGTCCACGACCACGTCCAAGTCCACGTCCACGACCACGTCCACGTCCACGTCCACGTCCACGTCCAAGTCCACGTCCACGACCACGTCCACGTCCACGTCCACGACCACGTCCACGTCACGTCCAATCCACGTCCACGTCCTCGTCCACGTCCACGACCACGTCCACGACCACGTCCACGTCCACGACCACGTCCACGTCCACGACCACGTCCACGTCCACGTCCACGTCCACGACCACGTCCACGTCCACGTCCACGTCCACGACCACGTCCACGTCCACGTCCAAGTCCAAGTCCACGTCCACGTCCACGTCCACGTCCAGGTCCACGTCCAGGTCCACGTCCACGTCCACGTCCACGACCACGTCCACGTCCACGTCCACGTCCACATCCACGACCACGTCCTTATCCACGTCCACGTCCACGTCCACGTCCGTGCCACGTCCAGGTCCAGGTCCACGTCCACATCCACGTCCACGTCCACGACCGCGTCCACGTCTACGTCCACGACCACGTCCGCGTCCACGTCCCCCACGTCCACGTCCAGTCCGCGTCCACGTCCACGTCCGCGTCCGCGTCCACGTCCGCGTCCACGACCACGTCCAGTCCGCGTCCACGACCACGTCCGCGTCCGCGTCCACGTCCGCGTCCACGACCACGTCCACGTCCGCGTCCACGACCACGTCCACGTCCGCGTCCACGTCCACGTCCACGTCCACGTCGACGTCCACGTCCACATCCACGTCCAGGACCAGGTCCACGTCCACGTCCAAGTCCAGGTCCACGTCCACGTCCACAACCACGTCCACGTCCAGGACCAGGTCCACGTCCACGTCCAAGTCCAGGTCCACGTCCACGTCCACGTCCACGTCCACGACCACGACCACTTCCACGTCCACGTCCACGACCACGTCCACCTCCACGTCCACGACCACGTCCACGTCCACGTCCACGACCACGTCCACGTCCACGACCACGTCCACGTCCGCGTCCACGTCCACGTCCACGTCCGCGTCCACGACAACGTCCACGTCCACGTCCGCGTCCACGACCACGTCCACGTCCGCGTCCACGACCACGTCCACGTCCCCGTCCACGACCACGTCCACGTCCCCGTCCACGACCACGTCCACGTCCCCGTCCACGACCACGTCCACGTCCACGTCCACGACCACGTCCACGTCCACGTCCACCCGTCCACGACCACGTCCACGTCCAGGTCCACGTCCAGGTCCACGTCCACGTCCACGTCCACGTCCAGGTCCACGTCCACGTCCACATCCACATCCACGTCCACGTCCTTGCCACGTCCACGTCCACGTCCGCGTCCACGTCCGCGTCCATGTCCGCGGCCAAGTCCGCGTCCACGTCCACGTCCGCGTCCACGACCGCGTCCACGACCACGTCCACGTCCACGTCCCCCACGTCCGTGTCCACGTCCACGTCCACGTCCGCGTCCACGTCCACGTCCGCGTCCACGTCCACGTCCACGTCCAGGTCCAGGTCCACGTCCACGTCCACGACCACGTCCACGTCCACGTCCACGACCATGTCCACGTCCACGTCCACGTCCACGCCAACGTCCACGTCCACGTCCACGTCCACGACCACGTCCACGTCCACGTCCACGTCCACGTCCACGACCACGTCCATGTCCACGACCACGTCCATGTCACGTCCAATCCACGTCCACGTCCACGTCCAAGTCCAGGTCCAGGTCCACGTCCTCGTCCACGTCCACGACCACGTCCACGACCACGTCCACGTCCACGACCACGTCCACGTCCATGACCACGTCCACGTCCACGTCCACGACCACGTCCACGTCCACGTCCACGTCCACGACCACGTCCACGTCCATGTCCAAGTCCAAGTCCAGGTCCACGTCCACGTCCACGTCCACGTCCAGGTCCACGTCTACGTCCACGACCACGTCCAAGTCCACGACCACGTCAACGTCCACGTCCACGTCCACGTCCACGACCACGTCCACGTCCACGTCCGCGTCCACGTCCGCGTCCACGTCCGCGTCCACGTCCACGTCCGCGTCCACGTCCCCGTCCACGTCCACGACCGCGTCCACGTCCGCGTCCACGACCGCGTCCGCGTCCACGTCCCCGACGACCACGTCCGCGTCCGCGTCCACGTCCGCGTCCACGTCCGCGTCCACGTCCGCGTCCACGACCACGTCCACGTCCGCGTCCACGACCACGTCCACGTCCGCGTCCACGACCACGTCCACGTCCACGTCCACGTCCAAGTCCACGTCCACGTCCGAGTCCACGTCCACGTCCACGTCCACGTCCACGACCACGTCCACGTCCACGTCCAGGTCCACGTCCACGTCCACGTCCACGTCCTCCACGTCCACGTCCACGTCCTCCACGTCCACGACCACGTCCAGTTCCACGTCCACGTCCAGGTCCACGTCCAGGTCCACGTCCACGTCCACGTCCAGGTCCACGTCCAGGTCCACGTCCACGTCCACGTCCACGTCCAGGTCCACGTCCACGTCCACGTCCACGTCCACGTCCACGTCCACGTCCACGTCCACGTCCACGTCCACGTCCACGTCCACGTCCACGTCCACGACCACGTCCAGGTCCACGTCCACGACCACGTCCACGTCCACGTCCAGGTCCACGTCCACGACCACGTCCACGTCCACGTCCACGTCCGCGTCCACGTCCACGTCCATGTCCGCTTCCACGTCCGCGTCCACGTCCGCGTCCGCGTCTGCGTCCGCGTCCACGTCCGCGTCCACGTCCGCGTCCACGTCCGCGTCCACGTCCGCGCCCGCGTCCGCGTCCGCGTCCGCGTCCGCATCCGCGTCCACATCCGCGTCCGCGTCCACGACCGCGTTCACGTCCACGTCCACGTCCGCGACCACGTCCAAGTCCACATCCATGTCCAAGTCCACTTCCACGTCCACGTCCACGTCCACGACCATGTCCACGTCCACGTCTAAGTCCACGTCCACGTCCAAGTCGACGTCCACGTCCACGTCCACGTTTAAGTCCAGGTCCAGGTCCACGTCCACGTCCACGACCACGTCCACGTCCACGTCCAGGTCCACGTCCACGTCCACGTCCTCCACGTCCACGCCCACGTCCTCCACGTCCACGACCACGTCCACGTCCACGTCCACGTCCTCCACGTCCACGTCCACGTCCTCCACGTCCACGACCAGGTCCACGTCCACGTCGACGTCCTCGACCACGTCCACGTCCACGACCACGTCCACGTCCATGTCTACGTCCAAGTCCACGTACACGTCCACGTCCACGTCGACGACCACGTCCAAGTCCACGTCCACGACCACGTCCACGTCTACGTCCACGTCCACGACCACGTCCAAGTCCAAGTCCAGGTCCAGGTCCACGTCCACGTCCACGTCCACGTCAAAGTCCAGGTCCACGTCCACGTCCAGGTCCACGTCCACGTCCACGACCACGTCCACGTCTACGTCCACGACCATGTCCACGACCACGTCCACGTCCATGTCCACGTCCACGTCCAAGTCTACATCCACGTCCAGGTCCAGGTCCACGTCCAGGTCCACGTCCACGTCCACGCCCACGACCACGTCCACGTCCACGTCCACGTCCACGACCACGTCCATGTCCACGTCCACGTCCACGTCCACGCCAACGTCCACGTCCACGTCCACGACCACGTCCACGTCCACGTCCAAGTCCACGTCCACGACCACGTCCACGTCCACGTCCACATCCTCGTCCACGTCAAGGTCCACGTTCATGACCACGTCCACGACCACGTCCACGTCCACGTCCACGTCCACGTCCACGTCCACGTCACTGTCCACGTCCACGTCCGCGTCGACGTCCACGTCCGCGTCCACGTCCGCGTCCACGTCCACGTCTGCGACCACGTCCGCGTCCACGTCCACGACCACGTCCACGTCCACGTCCACGACCACGACCACGTCCACGTCCGCGTCCACGTCCCCATCCACGTCCACGTCCATCCACGTCCACGACTGCGTCCACGTCCGCGTCCGCGTCCATGCCACGTCCACGTCCCGGTCCACGTCCACGTCCCCATCCACGTCCGCGTCCACGACCGCGTCCACGTCTACGTCCACGACGACGTCCGTGTCCACGTCCACGTCTACGTCCGCGTCCACGTCTTCGTCCGCGTCCACGTCCGCGTCCACGTCCACGTCCGCGTCCACGTCCGCGTCCACGTCCGCGTCCACGTCCGCGTCCACGTCCGCGTCCACGTCCGCGTCCCCGACCACGTCCACGTCCGCGTCCACGACCACGTCCACGTCCACGTCCACGACCACGTCCAAGTCCACGTCCACGTCCACGTCCAAGTCCACGTCCACGTCCACGTCGACGTCCACGTCCACGTCCACGACCATGTCCACGTCCACGTCCACGTCCACAACCACATCCACGTCCACGTCCAGGTCCACGACCACGTCCACGTCCACGTCCTCCACGTCCACGTCCACGTCCTCCACATCCACGACCATGTCCATGTCCAGGTCCACGTCCAGGTCCAGGTCCAGGTCCACGTCCACGTCCAGGTCCACGTCCACGTCCACGTCCACGACCACGTCCACGTCCTCGTCCACGTCCATGTCCACGTCCACATCCATGACCACAACCACGTCCACGTCCATGTCCGCGTCCACGTCCACGTCCGCGTCCGCGTCCTCGTCCACGTCCACGTCCACGTCCACGTCCGCGTCCACGAACGCGTCCACGTCTACGTCCACGACCACGTCCGCGTCCACGTCCCCCACGTCCGCGTCCACGTCCACGTCCGCGTCCGCGTCCACGTCCACGTCCACGTCCGCGTCCACGACCGCGTCCACGAACGCGTCCACGTCCACGTCCACGACCACGTCCGCGTCCACGTCCCCCACGTCCGCGTCCACGTCCACGTCCGCGTCCACGTCCACGTCCACGTCCACGTCCGCGTCCACGACCACGTCCACGTCCGCGTCCACGTCCACGTCCCCGTCCGGGTCCACGACCACGTCCACGTCCGCGTCCACGACCACGTCCACGTCCCCGTCCACGACCACGTCCACGTCCCCGTCCACGTCCACGTCAAAGTCCACGTCCACGTCCACGTCCACGTCCACGTCCACGTCCACGTCCGCGTCCACGTCCGCGTCCACATCCGCGTCCGAGTCCGCGTCCATGTCCACGTCCGCGTCCACGACCGCGTCCACGTCTACGTCCACGACCGCGTCCGCGTCCACGTCCCCCACGTCCGCGTCACGTCTACGTCCACGACCGCGTCCGCGTCCACGTCCCCCACGTCCGCGTCCACGTCCACGTCCACGTCCGCGTCCACGTCCACGTCCACGTCCGCGTCCGCATCCACGACCACGTCCACGTCCGCGTCCAGGTCCACGTCCACGTCCAGGTCCAGGTCCACGTCCACGTCCACGTCCACGTCTACGTCCACGTCCACGACCAGGTCCACGTCCACGTCCACGTCCACACCAACGTCCACGTCCACGTCCACGACCACGTCCACGTCCACGTCCACGACCACGTCCAAGTCCACGTCCACGTCCACGTCCAAGTCCACGTCCACGTCCATGTCAACGACCACGTCCACGTCACGTCCAATCCACGTCCCCGTCCACGTCCAAGTCCAGGTCCGGGTCCACGTCCCCGTCCACGTCCACGACCACGTCCACGACCACGTCCACGTCCACGACCACGTCCACCTCCACGACCACGTCCATGTCCACGTCCACGACCAGGTCCACGTCCACGTCCACGTCCACGACCAGGTCCACGTCCACGTCCACGTCCACGACCACGTCCACGTCCACGTCCACGACCACGTCCACGTCCACGTCCACGTCCAGGACCACGTCCACGTCCACGTCCACGACCACGTCCGCGTCCACGTCCACGTCCACGTCCGCATCCACGACCACGTCCACGTCCGCGTCCAAGACCACGTCCACGTCCCCGTCCACGACCACGTCCACGTCCACGTCCACGACCACGTCCACGTCCACGTCCACGTCCACGTCCACGACCACGTCCACGTCAAGGTCCACGTCCAGGTCCACGTCCACGTCCACGTCCACGTCCAGGTCCACGTCCACGTCCACGTCCACGTCCAGGTCCACGTCCACGTCCACGTCCACGTCCACGACCACGTCCACGTCCACGTCCACGACCACGTCCACGTCTACGTCCACGTCCAGGACCACGTCCACGTCCACGTCTACGACCACGTCCGCGTCCACGTCCACGTCCACGTCCGCATCCACGACCACGTCCACGTCCGCGTCCAAGACCACGTCCACGTCCCCGTCCACGACCACGTCCACGTCCACGTCCACGACCACGTCCACGTCCACGTCCACGTCCACGTCCACGACCACGTCCACGTCCAGGTCCACGTCCAGGTCCACGTCCACGTCCACGTCCACGTCCGCGTCCACGTCCGCGTCCACATCCGCGTCCGAGTCCGCGTCCACGTCCACGTCCGCGTCCACGACCGCGTCCACATCTAAGTCCACGACCGCGTCCGCTCCACGTCCCCCACGTCCGCGTCACGTCCACGTCCGCGTCCACGTCCACGTCCGCGTCCGCGTCCACGACCACGTCCACGTCCACGTCCAGGTCCACGTCCACGTCCAGGTCCGCGTCCACGTCCACGTCCACGTCCACGTCTACGTCCACGTCCACGACCAGGTCCACGTCCACGTCCACGCCAATGTCCACGTCCACGTCCACGACCACGTCCACGTCCACGTCCACGACCACGTCCAAGTCCACGTCCACGACCACGTCCAAGTCCACGTCCACGACCACGTCCACGTCCATGTCAACGACCACGTCCACGTCACGTCCAATACACGTCCACGTCCACGTCCAAGTCCAGGTCCGGGTCCATGTCCCCGTCCACGTCCACGACCACGTCCACGACCACGTCCACGTCCACGACCACGTCCACCTCCACGACCACGTCCACGTCCACGTCCACGACCAGGTCCACGTCCACGTCCACGTCCACGACCATGTCCACGTCCACGTCCACTTCCACGACCACGTCCACGTCCACGTCCACGACCACGTCCACGTCCACGTCCACGTCCAGGACCACGTCCACGTCCACGTCCAGGACCACGTCCGCGTCCACGTCCACATCCACGTCCGCGTCCACGTCCACATCCACGTCCGCATCCACGTCCACGTCCACGACCGCATCCACGTCTGCGTCCACAACCGCGTCCACGTCTGCGTCCACGACCGCGTCCACGTCTACGTCCACGACCACGTCCGCGTCCACGTCCCCCACGTCCGCGTCCACGTCCACGACCACGTCCACGTCCAGGACCGCGTCCACGACCACGTCCGCGTCCACGACCACGTCCACGTCCGCGTCCACGACCACGTCCACATCCACGACCACGTCCACGTCCACGTCCACATCCACGTCCACGTCCAAGTCCACGTCCACGTCCAAGTCCACGTCCACGTCGACGTCCAGGTCCACGTCCACATCCACGTCCACGTCCACGTCCACGTCCAAGTCCACGTCCACGTCCAAGTCCACGTCCACGTCCACGACCACGTCCAAGTCCAGGTCCACGTCCACGTCCACATCCACGACCACGTCCTTGCCACGTCTAGGTCCACGTCCACGTCCACGTCCACGTCCTCCACGTCCACGTCCACGTCCTCCACGTCCACGACCACGTCCACGTCCACGTCCTCCACGTTCACGTCCACGTCCTCCACGTCCACGACCAGGTCCACGTCCACGTCCACGTCCTCGACCACATCCACGTCCACGACCACGTCCACGTCCACGTCCACGTCCAAGTCCACGTAAACGTCCACGTCCACGTCCACGACCACGTCCAAGTCAACGTCCACGACCACGTCCACGTCCACGTCCACGTCCACGACCACGTCCAAGTCCAAGTCCAGGTCCAGGTCCACGTCCACGTCCACGTCCACGTCAAAGTCCAGGTCCACGTCCAGGTCGAGGTCCACGTCCACGTCCACGTCCACGTCCACGTCCACGACCATGTCCACGTCCACGTCCACGTCCACGCCAACGTCCAGGTCCACGTCCACGACCACGTCCACGTCCACGACCACGTCCACGTCCACGTCCAAGTCCACGTCCACGACCACGTCCACGTCCACGTCCACGACCACGTCCACGTCACGTACAATCCACGTCCACGTCCACGTTCAAGTCCAGGTCCAGGTCCACGTCCCCTTCCACGTCTACGACCACGTCCACAACCACGTCCACGTCCACGACTACGTCCTAGTCCACGACCACGTCCACGTCCACGTCCACGACCACGTCCACGTCCACGTCCACGTCCACGACCATGTCTACGTCCATGTCCACGTCCACGTCCAAGTCCAAGTCCAGGTCCACGTCCACGTCCACGTCCAGGTCCACGTCCACGTCCACGACCACGTCCACGTCCACGTCCACGTCCACGTCTATGACCACGTCCACGTCCACGTCCGCGTCCACGTCCAGGACCACGTCCACGTCCGCGTCCGCGTCCACGTCCACGTCCACGTCCGCGTCCACGTCCCCGTCCACGTCCACGTCCACATCCACGTCCGCGTCCACGACCACGTCCGCGTCTACGTCCACGGCCACGTCCGCGTCCACGTCCCCCATATCCACGTCCACGTCCGCGTCCACGTCCACGTCCGCGTCCACGACCACGTCCACGTCCGCGTCCACGTTCGCGTCCACGTCCGCGTCCACGTCTGCGTCCACGTCCGCGTCCACGTCCGCGTCCACGTCCGCGTCCACGACCCCGTCCACGTCCGCGTCCACGACCGCGTCCACGTCCGCGTCCACGACCGCGTCCACGTCCGCGTCCACCTCCGCGTCCACGTCCGCGTCCACGACCACGTCCACGTCCGCGTCCACGACCACGTCCACGTCCACGTCCACGACCACGTCCACGACCGCGTCCACGACCACGTCCACGTCCACGTCCACGACCACGTCCACGTCTACGTCCACAACCACATCCACGTCCACGTCCACGACCAGGTCCACGTCCACGTCCTCCACGTCCACGTCCACGTCCTCCACGTCCACGACCACGTCCACGTCCAAGTCCACGTCCAGGTCCACGTCCACGTCCAGGTCCAGGTCCACGTCCAGGTCCACGTCCACGTCTACGTCCACGTCCACGACCAGGTCCACGTCCACGTCCACGTCCACGCCAACGTCCACGTCCACGTCCACGACCACGTCCACGTCCAAGTCCACGTCCACGACCACGTCCACGTCCACGTCCACATCCTCGTCCACGTCAAGGTCCACGTTCATGACCACGTCCACGACCACGTCCACGTCCACGTCCACGTCCACGTCCACGTCCACGTCACTGTCCGCGTCCACGTCCGTGTCGACGTCGACGTCCGCGTCCACGTCCGCGTCCACGTCCACGTCTGCGACCACGTCCGCGTCCACGTCCACGACCACGTCCACGTCCACGTCCACGACCACGACCACGTCCACGTCCGCGTCCACGTCCCCATCCACGTCCACGTCCATCCACGTCCACGACTGCGTCCACGTCCGCGTCCGCGTCCATGCCACGTCCACGTCCCCGTCCACGTCCACGTCCCCATCCACGTCCGCGTCCACGACCGCGTCCACGTCTACGTCCACGACGACGTCCGTGTCCACGTCCACGTCTACGTCCGCGTCCACGTCTTCGTCCGCGTCCACGTCCGCGTCCACGTCCACGTCCACGTCCGCGTCCACGTCCGCGTCCACGTCCGCGTCCACGTCCGCGTCCACGTCCGCGTCCCCGACCACGTCCACGTCCGCGTCCACGACCACGTCCACGTCCACGTCCACGACCACGTCCACGTCTACGTCCACGTCCACGTCCAAGTCCACGTCCACGTCCACGTCGACGTCCACGTCCACGTCCACGACCATGTCCACGTCCACGTCCACGTCCACAACCACATCCACGTCCACGTCCAGGTCCACGACCACGTCCACGTCCATGTCCTCCACGTCCACGTCCACGTCCTCCACATCCACGACCATGTCCATGTCCAGGTCCACGTCCAGGTCCAGGTCCACGTCCACGTCCACGTCCAGGTCCACGTCCACGTCCACGACCACGTCCACGTCCTCGTCCACGTCCATGTCCACGTCCACATCCATGACCACAACCACGTCCACGTCCATGTCCGCGTCCACGTCCACGTCCGCGTCCGCGTCCTCGTCCACGTCCACGTCCACGTCCACGTCCGCGTCCACGAACGCGTCCACGTCTACGTCCACGACCACGTCCGCGTCCACGTCCCCCACGTCCGCGTCCACGTCCACGTCCGCGTCCGCGTCCACGTCCACGTCCACGTCCGCGTCCACGACCGCGTCCACGAACGCGTCCACGTCCACGTCCACGACCACGTCCGCGTCCACGTCCCCCACGTCCGCGTCCACGTCCACGTCCGCGTCCACGTCCACGTCCACGTCCACGTCCGCGTCCACGACCACGTCCACGTCTGCGTCCACGTCCACGTCCCCGTCCGGGTCCACGACCACGTCCACGTCCGCGTCCACGACCACGTCCACGTCCCCGTCCACGACCACGTCCACGTCCCCGTCCACGTCCACGTCAAAGTCCACGTCCACGTCCACGTCCACGTCCACGTCCACGTCCACGTCCGCGTCCACGTCCGCGTCCACATCCGCGTCCGAGTCCGCGTCCATGTCCACGTCCGCGTCCACGACCGCGTCCACGTCTACGTCCACGACCGCGTCCGCGTCCACGTCCCCCACGTCCGCGTCACGTCTACGTCCACGACCGCGTCCGCGTCCACGTCCCCCACGTCCGCGTCCACGTCCACGTCCACGTCCGCGTCCACGTCCACGTCCACGTCCGCGTCCGCATCCACGACCACGTCCACGTCCGCGTCCAGGTCCACGTCCACGTCCAGGTCCAGGTCCACGTCCACGTCCACGTCCACGTCTACGTCCACGTCCACGACCAGGTCCACGTCCACGTCCACGTCCACACCAACGTCCACGTCCACGTCCACGACCACGTCCACGTCCACGTCCACGACCACGTCCAAGTCCACGTCCACGTCCACGTCCAAGTCCACGTCCACGTCCATGTCAACGACCACGTCCACGTCACGTCCAATCCACGTCCCCGTCCACGTCCAAGTCCAGGTCCGGGTCCACGTCCCCGTCCACGTCCACGACCACGTCCACGACCACGTCCACGTCCACGACCACGTCCACCTCCACGACCACGTCCATGTCCACGTCCACGACCAGGTCCACGTCCACGTCCACGTCCACGACCAGGTCCACGTCCACGTCCACGTCCACGACCACGTCCACGTCCACGTCCACGACCACGTCCACGTCCACGTCCACGTCCAGGACCACGTCCACGTCCACGTCCACGACCACGTCCGCGTCCACGTCCACGTCCACGTCCGCATCCACGACCACGTCCACGTCCGCGTCCAAGACCACGTCCACGTCCCCGTCCACGACCACGTCCACGTCCACGTCCACGACCACGTCCACGTCCACGTCCACGTCCACGTCCACGACCACGTCCACGTCAAGGTCCACGTCCAGGTCCACGTCCACGTCCACGTCCACGTCCAGGTCCACGTCCACGTCCACGTCCACGTCCAGGTCCACGTCCACGTCCACGTCCACGTCCACGACCACGTCCACGTCCACGTCCACGACCACGTCCACGTCCACGTCCACGTCCAGGACCACGTCCACGTCCACGTCTACGACCACGTCCGCGTCCACGTCCACGTCCACGTCCGCATCCACGACCACGTCCACGTCCGCGTCCAAGACCACGTCCACGTCCCCGTCCACGACCACGTCCACGTCCACGTCCACGACCACGTCCACGTCCACGTCCACGTCCACGTCCACGACCACGTCCACGTCCAGGTCCACGTCCAGGTCCACGTCCACGTCCACGTCCACGTCCGCGTCCACGTCCGCGTCCACATCCGCGTCCGAGTCCGCGTCCACGTCCACGTCCGCGTCCACGACCGCGTCCACATCTAAGTCCACGACCGCGTCCGCTCCACGTCCCCCACGTCCGCGTCACGTCCACGTCCGCGTCCACGTCCACGTCCGCGTCCGCGTCCACGACCACGTCCACGTCCACGTCCAGGTCCACGTCCACGTCCAGGTCCGCGTCCACGTCCACGTCCACGTCCACGTCTACGTCCACGTCCACGACCAGGTCCACGTCCACGTCCACGCCAATGTCCACGTCCACGTCCACGACCACGTCCACGTCCACGTCCACGACCACGTCCAAGTCCACGTCCACGACCACGTCCAAGTCCACGTCCACGACCACGTCCACGTCCATGTCAACGACCACGTCCACGTCACGTCCAATACACGTCCACGTCCACGTCCAAGTCCAGGTCCGGGTCCATGTCCCCGTCCACGTCCACGACCACGTCCACGACCACGTCCACGTCCACGACCACGTCCACCTCCACGACCACGTCCACGTCCACGTCCACGACCAGGTCCACGTCCACGTCCACGTCCACGACCATGTCCACGTCCACGTCCACTTCCACGACCACGTCCACGTCCACGTCCACGACCACGTCCACGTCCACGTCCACGTCCAGGACCACGTCCACGTCCACGTCCAGGACCACGTCCGCGTCCACGTCCACATCCACGTCCGCGTCCACGTCCACATCCACGTCCGCATCCACGTCCACGTCCACGACCGCATCCACGTCTGCGTCCACAACCGCGTCCACGTCTGCGTCCACGACCGCGTCCACGTCTACGTCCACGACCACGTCCGCGTCCACGTCCCCCACGTCCGCGTCCACGTCCACGACCACGTCCACGTCCAGGACCGCGTCCACGACCACGTCCGCGTCCACGACCACGTCCACGTCCGCGTCCACGACCACGTCCACATCCACGACCACGTCCACGTCCACGTCCACATCCACGTCCACGTCCAAGTCCACGTCCACGTCCAAGTCCACGTCCACTTCGACGTCCAGGTCCACGTCCACATCCACGTCCACGTCCACGTCCACGTCCAAGTCCACGTCCACGTCCAAGTCCACGTCCACGTCCACGACCACGTCCAAGTCCAGGTCCACGTCCACGTCCACATCCACGACCACGTCCTTGCCACGTCTAGGTCCACGTCCACGTCCACGTCCACGTCCTCCACGTCCACGTCCACGTCCTCCACGTCCACGACCACGTCCACGTCCACGTCCTCCACGTTCACGTCCACGTCCTCCACGTCCACGACCAGGTCCACGTCCACGTCCACGTCCTCGACCACATCCACGTCCACGACCACGTCCACGTCCACGTCCACGTCCAAGTCCACGTAAACGTCCACGTCCACGTCCACGACCACGTCCAAGTCCACGTCCACGACCACGTCCACGTCCACGTCCACGTCCACGACCACGTCCAAGTCCAAGTCCAGGTCCAGGTCCACGTCCACGTCCACGTCCACGTCAAAGTCCAGGTCCACGTCCAGGTCGAGGTCCACGTCCACGTCCACGTCCACGTCCACGTCCACGACCATGTCCACGTCCACGTCCACGTCCACGCCAACGTCCAGGTCCACGTCCACGACCACGTCCACGTCCACGACCACGTCCACGTCCACGTCCAAGTCCACGTCCACGACCACGTCCACGTCCACGTCCACGACCACGTCCACGTCACGTACAATCCACGTCCACGTCCACGTCCAAGTCCAGGTCCAGGTCCACGTCCCCTTCCACGTCTACGACCACGTCCACAACCACGTCCACGTCCACGACTACGTCCTAGTCCACGACCACGTCCACGTCCACGTCCACGACCACGTCCACGTCCACGTCCACGTCCACGACCATGTCTACGTCCATGTCCACGTCCACGTCCAAGTCCAAGTCCAGGTCCACGTCCACGTCCACGTCCAGGTCCACGTCCACGTCCACGACCACGTCCACGTCCAGGTCCACGTCCACGTCTACGACCACGTCCACGTCCACGTCCGCGTCCACGTCCAGGACCACGTCCACGTCCGCGTCCGCGTCCACGTCCACGTCCGCGTCCACGTCCCCGTCCACGTCCACGTCCACATCCACGTCCGCGTCCACGACCACGTCCGCGTCTACGTCCACGGCCACGTCCGCGTCCACGTCCCCCACATCCACGTCCACGTCCGCGTCCACGTCCACGTCCGCGTCCACGACCACGTCCACGTCCGCGTCCACGTTCGCGTCCACGTCCGCGTCCACGTCCGCGTCCACGTCCGCGTCCACGTCCGCGTCCACGTCCGCGTCCACGACCCCGTCCACGTCCGCGTCCACGACCGCGTCCACGTCCGCGTCCACGACCGCGTCCACGTCCGCGTCCACCTCCGCGTCCACGTCCGCGTCCACGACCACGTCCACGTCCGCGTCCACGACCACGTCCACGTCCACGTCCACGACCACGTCCACGACCGCGTCCACGACCACGTCCACGTCCACGTCCACGACCACGTCCACGTCCACGTCCACAACCACATCCACGTCCACGTCCACGACCAGGTCCACGTCCACGTCCTCCACGTCCACGTCCACGTCCTCCACGTCCACGACCACGTCCACGTCCAAGTCCACGTCCAGGTCCACGTCCTCGTCCAGGTCCAGGTCCACGTCCAGGTCCACGTCCACGTCTACGTCCACGTCCACGACCAGGTCCACGTCCACGTCCACGTCCACGCCAACGTCCACGTCCACGTCCACGACCACGTCCACGTCCAAGTCCACGTCCACGACCACGTCCACGTCCACGTCCACATCCTCGTCCACGTCAAGGTCCACGTTCATGACCACGTCCACGACCACGTCCACGTCCACGTCCACGTCCACGTCCACGTCACTGTCCGCGTCCACGTCCGTGTCGACGTCCACGTCCGCGTCCACGTCCGCGTCCACGTCCACGTCTGCGACCACGTCCGCGTCCACGTCCACGACCACGTCCACGTCCACGACCACGACCACGTCCACGTCCGCGTCCACGTCCCCGTCCACGTCCACGTCCATCCACGTCCACGACTGTGTCCACGTCCGCGTCCGCGTCCATGCCACGTCCACGTCCCCGTCCACGTCCACGTCCCCATCCACGTCCGCGTCCACGACCGCGTCCACGTCTACGTCCACGACGACGTCCGTGTCCACGTCCACGTCTACGTCCGCGTCCACGTCTTCGTCCGCGTCCATGTCCGCGTCCACGTCCACGTCCGCGTCCACGTCCGCGTCCACGTCCGCGTCCACGTCCGCGTCCACGTCCGCGTCCACGTCCGCGTCCCCGACCACGTCCACGTCCGCGTCCACGACCACGTCCACGTCCACGTCCACGACCACGTCCACGTCTACGTCCACGTCCACGTCCAAGTCCACGTCCACGTCCACGTCGACGTCCACGTCCACGTCCACGACCATGTCCACGTCCACGTCCACGTCCACAACCACATCCACGTCCACGTCCAGGTCCACGACCACGTCCACGTCCATGTCCTCCACGTCCACGTCCACGTCCTCCACATCCACGACCATGTCCATGTCCAGGTCCACGTCCAGGTCCAGGTCCACGTCCACGTCCACGTCCAGGTCCACGTCCATGTCCACGTCCACGACCACGTCCACGTCCTCGTCCACGTCCATGTCCACGTCCACATCCATGACCACAACCACGTCCACGTCCATGTCCGCGTCCACGTCCACGTCCGCGTCCGCGTCCTCGTCCACGTCCACGTCCACGTCCACGTCCGCGTCCACGAACGCGTCCACGTCTACGTCCACGACCACGTCCGCGTCCACGTCCCCCACGTCCGCGTCCACGTCCACGTCCGCGTCCGCGTCCACGTCCACGTCCACGTCCGCGTCCACGACCGCGTCCACGAACGCGTCCACGTCCACGTCCACGACCACGTCCGCGTCCACGTCCCCCACGTCCGCGTCCACGTCCACGTCCGCGTCCACGTCCACGTCCACGTCCACGTCCGCGTCCACGACCACGTCCACGTCCGCGTCCACGTCCACGTCCCCGTCCGGGTCCACGACCACGTCCACGTCCGCGTCCACGACCACGTCCACGTCCCCGTCCACGACCACGTCCACGTCCCCGTCCACGTCCACGTCAAAGTCCACGTCCACGTCCACGTCCACGTCCACGTCCACGTCCACGTCCGCGTCCACGTCCGCGTCCACATCCGCGTCCGAGTCCGCGTCCATGTCCACGTCCGCGTCCACGACCGCGTCCACGTCTACGTCCACGACCGCGTCCGCGTCCACGTCCCCCACGTCCGCGTCACGTCTACGTCCACGACCGCGTCCGCGTCCACGTCCCCCACGTCCGCGTCCACGTCCACGTCCACGTCCGCGTCCACGTCCACGTCCACGTCCGCGTCCGCATCCACGACCACGTCCACGTCCGCGTCCAGGTCCACGTCCACGTCCAGGTCCAGGTCCACGTCCACGTCCACGTCTACGTCCACGTCCACGACCAGGTCCACGTCCACGTCCACGTCCACACCAACGTCCACGTCCACGTCCACGACCACGTCCACGTCCACGTCCACGACCACGTCCAAGTCCACGTCCACGTCCACGTCCAAGTCCACGTCCACGTCCATGTCAACGACCACGTCCACGTCACGTCCAATCCACGTCCCCGTCCACGTCCAAGTCCAGGTCCGGGTCCACGTCCCCGTCCACGTCCACGACCACGTCCACGACCACGTCCACGTCCACGACCACGTCCACCTCCACGACCACGTCCATGTCCACGTCCACGACCAGGTCCACGTCCACGTCCACGTCCACGACCAGGTCCACGTCCACGTCCACGTCCACGACCACGTCCACGTCCACGTCCACGACCACGTCCACGTCCACGTCCACGTCCAGGACCACGTCCACGTCCACGTCCACGACCACGTCCGCGTCCACGTCCACGTCCACGTCCGCATCCACGACCACGTCCACGTCCGCGTCCAAGACCACGTCCACGTCCCCGTCCACGACCACGTCCACGTCCACGTCCACGACCACGTCCACGTCCACGTCCACGTCCACGTCCACGACCACGTCCACGTCAAGGTCCACGTCCAGGTCCACGTCCACGTCCACGTCCACGTCCAGGTCCACGTCCACGTCCACGTCCACGTCCAGGTCCACGTCCACGTCCACGTCCACGTCCACGACCACGTCCACGTCCACGTCCACGACCACGTCCACGTCCACGTCCACGTCCAGGACCACGTCCACGTCCACGTCCACGTCTACGACCACGTCCGCGTCCACGTCCACGTCCACGTCCGCATCCACGACCACGTCCACGTCCGCGTCCAAGACCACGTCCACGTCCCCGTCCACGACCACGTCCACGTCCACGTCCACGACCACGTCCACGTCCACGTCCACGTCCACGTCCACGACCACGTCCACGTCCAGGTCCACGTCCAGGTCCACGTCCACGTCCACGTCCACGTCCGCGTCCACGTCCGCGTCCACATCCGCGTCCGAGTCCGCGTCCACGTCCACGTCCGCGTCCACGACCGCGTCCACATCTAAGTCCACGACCGCGTCCGCTCCACGTCCCCCACGTCCGCGTCACGTCCACGTCCGCGTCCACGTCCACGTCCGCGTCCGCGTCCACGACCACGTCCACGTCCACGTCCAGGTCCACGTCCACGTCCAGGTCCGCGTCCACGTCCACGTCCACGTCCACGTCTACGTCCACGTCCACGACCAGGTCCACGTCCACGTCCACGCCAATGTCCACGTCCACGTCCACGACCACGTCCACGTCCACGTCCACGACCACGTCCAAGTCCACGTCCACGACCACGTCCAAGTCCACGTCCACGACCACGTCCACGTCCATGTCAACGACCACGTCCACGTCACGTCCAATACACGTCCACGTCCACGTCCAAGTCCAGGTCCGGGTCCATGTCCCCGTCCACGTCCACGACCACGTCCACGACCACGTCCACGTCCACGACCACGTCCACCTCCACGACCACGTCCACGTCCACGTCCACGACCAGGTCCACGTCCACGTCCACGTCCACGACCATGTCCACGTCCACGTCCACTTCCACGACCACGTCCACGTCCACGTCCACGACCACGTCCACGTCCACGTCCACGTCCAGGACCACGTCCACGTCCACGTCCAGGACCACGTCCGCGTCCACGTCCACATCCACGTCCGCGTCCACGTCCACATCCACGTCCGCATCCACGTCCACGTCCACGACCGCATCCACGTCTGCGTCCACAACCGCGTCCACGTCTGCGTCCACGACCGCGTCCACGTCTACGTCCACGACCACGTCCGCGTCCACGTCCCCCACGTCCGCGTCCACGTCCACGTTCGCGTCCACGTCCACGTCCGCGTCCACGTCCGCGTCCGCGTCCACGTCCGCGTCCACGTCCGCGTCCACGTCCACGACCACGTCCACGTCCAGGACCGCGTCCACGACCACGTCCGCGTCCACGACCACGTCCACGTCCGCGTCCACGACCACGTCCACATCCACGACCACGTCCACGTCCACGTCCACATCCACGTCCACGTCCAAGTCCACGTCCACGTCCAAGTCCACGTCCACGTCGACGTCCAGGTCCACGTCCACATCCACGTCCACGTCCACGTCCACGTCCAAGTCCACGTCCACGTCCAAGTCCACGTCCACGTCCACGACCACGTCCAAGTCCAGGTCCACGTCCACGTCCACATCCACGACCACGTCCTTGCCACGTCTAGGTCCACGTCCACGTCCACGTCCACGTCCTCCACGTCCACGTCCACGTCCTCCACGTCCACGACCACGTCCACGTCCACGTCCTCCACGTTCACGTCCACGTCCTCCACGTCCACGACCAGGTCCACGTCCACGTCCACGTCCTCGACCACATCCACGTCCACGACCACGTCCACGTCCACGTCCACGTCCAAGTCCACGTAAACGTCCACGTCCACGTCCACGACCACGTCCAAGTCCACGTCCACGACCACGTCCACGTCCACGTCCACGTCCACGACCACGTCCAAGTCCAAGTCCAGGTCCAGGTCCACGTCCACGTCCACGTCCACGTCAAAGTCCAGGTCCACGTCCAGGTCGAGGTCCACGTCCACGTCCACGTCCACGTCCACGTCCACGACCATGTCCACGTCCACGTCCACGTCCACGCCAACGTCCAGGTCCACGTCCACGACCACGTCCACGTCCACGACCACGTCCACGTCCACGTCCAAGTCCACGTCCACGACCACGTCCACGTCCACGTCCACGACCACGTCCACGTCACGTACAATCCACGTCCACGTCCACGTCCAAGTCCAGGTCCAGGTCCACGTCCCCTTCCACGTCTACGACCACGTCCACAACCACGTCCACGTCCACGACTACGTCCTAGTCCACGACCACGTCCACGTCCACGTCCACGACCACGTCCACGTCCACGTCCACGTCCACGACCATGTCTACGTCCATGTCCACGTCCACGTCCAAGTCCAAGTCCAGGTCCACGTCCACGTCCACGTCCAGGTCCACGTCCACGTCCACGACCACGTCCACGTCCACGTCCACGTCCACGTCTAGGACCACGTCCACGTCCACGTCCGCGTCCACGTCCACGTCCACGTCCACGTCCACGTCCACGTCCACGTCCACGTCCACGTCCACGTCCACGTCCGCGTCCACGTCCAGGACCACGTCCACGTCCGCGTCCGCGTCCACGTCCACGTCCACGTCCGCGTCCACGTCCCCGTCCACGTCCACGTCCACATCCACGTCCGCGTCCACGACCACGTCCGCGTCTACGTCCACGGCCACGTCCGCGTCCACGTCCCCCACATCCACGTCCACGTCCGCGTCCACGTCCACGTCCGCGTCCACGACCACGTCCACGTCCGCGTCCACGTTCGCGTCCACGTCCGCGTCCACGTCTGCGTCCACGTCCGCGTCCACGTCCGCGTCCACGTCCGCGTCCACGACCCCGTCCACGTCCGCGTCCACGACCGCGTCCACGTCCGCGTCCACGACCGCGTCCACGTCCGCGTCCACCTCCGCGTCCACGTCCGCGTCCACGACCACGTCCACGTCCGCGTCCACGACCACGTCCACGTCCACGTCCACGACCACGTCCACGACCGCGTCCACGACCACGTCCACGTCCACGTCCACGACCACGTCCACGTCCACGTCCACGTCCACAACCACATCCACGTCCACGTCCACGACCAGGTCCACGTCCACGTCCTCCACGTCCACGTCCACGTCCTCCACGTCCGCGACCACGTCCACGTCCACGTCCACGTCCAGGTCCACGTCCACGTCCACGTCGTCCAGGTCCACGTCCACGTCCACGTCCACGACCACGACCACGTCCACGTCCAGGTCCACGTCCACGTCCACGTCAACGTCCACGTCCGCGTCCACGTCCACGCACACGTCCGCGTCCTCGTCCACGTCCACGTCCACCTCCACGTCCACGTCCACGTCCGCGTCCGCGTCCACGTCCACGTCCGCGTCCGCGTCCACGTCCACGTCCGCGTCCGCGTCTACGTCCACGACCACGTCCGCGTCCACGTCCCTCACGTCCGCGTCCACGTCCACGTCCACATCCACGTCCGCGTCCACGACCACGTCGACGTCCGCGTCCACGTCCACGTCCACGTCCGCGTCCACGACCACGTCCACGTCCGCGTCCACGACCACGTCCACGTCCCCGTCCACGACCACGTCCACGTCCACGTCCACGACCACGTCCACGTCCACGTCCACGTCCACGTCCACGACCACGTCCACGTCCAGGTCCACGTCCAGGTCCACGTCCACGTCCACGTCCAGGTCCAGGTCCACGTCCACGTCCACGTCCACGTCCACGTCCGCGTCCACGTCCGCGTCCACGTCCGCGTCCGAGTCCGCGTCCACGTCCACGTCCGCGTCTGCGTCCGAGTCCGCGTCCACGTCCACGTCCGCGTCCATGACCGCGTCCACGTCTACGTCCACGACCACGTCCGCTAGGCCCTTGTTCTTCCAAATTTGCACACGCAAGGCCCTTGTTCTTCCAATTTTGCACATGCTAGGCCCTTGTTCTTCCAATTTTGCGAACGCAAGGCCCTTGTTCTTCCAATTTAGCACATGCTAGGCCCTTGTTCTTGCAATTTTGCACACGCTAGTCCCTTGTTCTTGCTATTTCGCACACGCTAGGCCCTTGTTCTTCCAATTTTGCACACGCTAGGTCCTTGTTCTTGCAATTTTGCACACGCTAGGACCTTGTTCTTGCAATTTTGCACACGCTAGGCCCTTGTTCTTGAAATTTTGCACACGCTAGGCCCTTGTTCTTCTAGTTTTGCACACGCTAAGCCCTTGTTCTTCCAATTTTGCACACGCTAGGCCCTTGTTCTTCCAATTTCGCACACGCTAGGCCCTTGTTCTTGCAATTTGGCACACGCTAGGCCCTTGTTCTTGCTATTTCGCACACGCTAGCCCTTGTTCTTCCAATTTTGCACACGCTAGGCCCTTGTTCTTGCAATTTTGCGCATGCTATGCCCTTGTTCTTGCTATTTTGCACACGCTAGGCCCTTCTCCTTGAAATGTTGCACACGCTAGGCCCGTGTTCTTGAATTTTTGCACACGCTAGGACCTTGTTCTTGCAATTTTGCACACGCTAGGCCCTTGTTCTTCCAATTTTGCACATGCTAGGCCCTTGTTCTTCCAATTTTGCAAACGCAAGGCCCTTGTTCTTCCAATTTTGCACACGCTAGGCCCTTGTTTTTGCAATTTTACACACGCTAGTCCCTTGTTCTTGCTATTTCGCACACGCTAGGCCCTTGTTCTTTCAATTTTACACACGCTAGGTCCTTGTTCCTGCAATTTTGCACACGCTAGGACCTTGTTCTTGCAATTTTGCACATGCTATGCCCTTGTTCTTGCTATTTTGCACATGCTAGGCCCTTCTCCTTGAAATGTTGCACACGCTAGGCCCGCGTTCTTGAATTTTTGCACACGCTAGGACCTTTTTCTTGCAATTTTGCACACGCTAGGCCCTTGTTCTTCCAATTTTGCACATGCTAGGCCCTTGTTCTTCCAATTTTGCAAACGCAAGGCCCTTGTTCTTCCAATTTAGCACACGCTAGGCCCTTGTTTTTGCAATTTTACACACGCTAGTCCCTTGTTCTTGCTATTTCGCACACGCTAGGCCCTTGTTCTTTCAATTTTACACACGCTAGGTCCTTGTTCTTGCAATTTTGCACACGCTAGGACCTTGTTCTTGCAATTTTGCACACGCTAGGCCCTTGTTCTTCTAGTTTTGCACACGCTAAGCTCTTGTTCTTCCAATGTTGCACACGCTAGGCCCTTGTTCTTCCAATTTCGCACACGCTAGGCCCTTGTTCTTGCAATTTGGCACACGCTAGGCCCTTGTTCTTGCTATTTCGCACACGCTAGCCCCTTGTTCTTCCAATTTTGCACACGCTAGGCCCTTGTTCTTGCAATTTTGCACATGCTATGCCCTTGTTCTTGCTATTTTGCACACGCTAGGCCCTTCTCCTTGAAATGTTGCACACGCTAGGCCCTTGTTCTTGAATTTTTGCACACGCTAGGACCTTGTTCTTGCAATTTTGCACACGCTAGGCCCTTGTTCTTCTAATTTTTCACACGCTAGGCCCTTGTTCTTCCAATTTTGCACATGCTAGGCCCTTGTTCTTCCAATTTTGCACAAGCTAGGCCCTTGTTCTTCCAATTTCGCACACGCTAGGCCCTTGTTCTTGCAATTTTGCACACGCTAGTCCCTTGTACTTGCTATTTCGCACACGCTAGGTTCTTGTTCTTCCAATTTTGCACACGCTAGGTCCTTGTTCTTGCAATTTTGCACACGCTAGGACCTTGTTCTTGCAATTTTGCACACGCTAGGCCCTTGTTCTTCCAATTTTGCACATGCTAGGCCCTTGTTCTTCCAATTTTGCAAAGGCAAGGCCCTTGTTCTTCCAATTTAGCACACGCTAGGCCCTTGTTTTTGCAATTTTACACACGCTAGTCCCTTGTTCTTGCTATTTCGCACACGCTAGGCCCTTGTTCTTTCAATTTTACACACGCTAGGTCCTTGTTCTTGCAATTTTGCACACGCTAGGACCTTGTTCTTGCAATTTTGCACACGCTAGGCCCTTGTTCTTGAAATTTTGCACATGCTAGGCCCTTGTTCTTCTAGTTTTGCACACGCTAAGCTCTTGTTCTTCCAATGTTGCACACGCTAGGCCCTTGTTCTTCCAATTTCGCACACGCTAGGCCCTTGTTCTTGCAATTTGGCACACGCTAGGCCCTTGTTCCTGTTATTTTGCACACGCTAGGCCCTTGTTCTTGCAATTTTGCACATGCTATGCCCTTGTTCTTGCTATTTTGCACACGCTAGGCCCTTCTCCTTGAAATGTTGCACACGCTAGGCCCTTGTTCTTGAATTTTTGCACACGCTAGGACCTTGTTCTTGCAATTTTGCACACGCTAGGCCCTTGTTCTTCCAATGTTTCACACGCTAGGCCCTTGTTCTTGCAATTTTGCACATGCTAGGCCCTTGTTCTTCCAATTTTGCACAAGCTAGGCCCTTGTTCTTCCAATTTCGCACACGCTAGGCCCTTGTTCTTGCAATTTTGCACACGCTAGTCCCTTGTACTTGCTATTTCGCACACGCTAGGCCCTTGTTCTTCCAGTTTTGCACACGCTAGGTCCTTGTTCTTGCAATTTTGCACACGCTAGGACCTTGTTCTTGCAATTTTGCACACGCTAGGCCCTTGTTCTTGAAATTTTGCACACGCTAGGCCCTTGTTCTTCTAGTTTTGCACACGCTAAGCCATTGTTCTTCCAATTTTGCACACGCTAGGCCCTTGTTCTTGCAATTTGGCACATGCTAGGCCCTTGTTCTTACTATTTCGCACACGCTAGGCCCTTGTTCTTCCAATTTTGCACACTATAGGCCCTTGTTCTTGCAATTTTGCACATGCTATGCCCTTGTTCTTGCTATTTTGCACACGCTAGGCCCTTCTCCTTGAAATTTTGCACACGTTAGGCCCTTGTTCTTGAATTTTTGCACACGCTAGGACCTTGTTCTTGCAATTTTGCATACGCTAGGCCCTTGTTCTTGAAATTTTGCGCATGCTAGGCCACTGTTCTTGCTACTTTGCACAAGCTAGGCCCTTGTTCTTCCAATTTTGCACACGCTAGGTCCTTGTTCTTGCAATTTTGCACACGCTAGGACCTTGTTCTTTCAATTTTGCACACGCTAGGCCCTTGTTCTTGAAATTTTGCACACGCTTGGCCCTTGTTCTTCTAGTTTTGCACACGCTAAGCCCTTGTTCTTCCAATATAGCACACACTAGGCCCTTGTTCTTGCAATTTGGCACATGCTAGGCCCTTGTTCTTGCTATTTCGCACACGCTAGGCCCTTGTTCTTCCAATTTTGCACACGCTAGGCCCTTGTTCTTGCAATTTTGCACATGCTATGCCCTTGTTCTTGCTATTTTGCACACGCTAGGCCCTTCTCCTTGAAATTTTGCACACGTTAGGCCCTTGTTCTTGAATTTTTGCACACGCTAGGACCTTATTCTTGCAATTTTGCATACGCTAGGCCCTTGTTCTTAAAATTTTGCGCATGCTAGGCCACTGTTCTTGCTACTTTGCACACGCTAGGCCCTTCTCCTTGAAATGTTGCACACGCTAGGCCCGTGTTCTTGAATTTTTGCACACGCTAGGACCTTGTTCTTGCAATTTTGCACACGCTAAGCCCTTGTTCTTCCAATTTTGCACATGCTAGGCCCTTGTTCTTCCAATTTTGCAAACGCAAGGCCCTTGTTCTTCCAATTTTGCACACGCTAGGCCCTTGTTTTTGCAATTTTACACACGCTAGTCCCTTGTTCTTGCTATTTCGCACACGCTAGGCCCTTGTTCTTTCAATTTTACACACGCTAGGTCCTTGTTCTTGCAATTTTGCACACGCTAGGACCTTGTTCTTGCAATTTTGCACATGCTATGCCCTTGTTCTTGCTATTTTGCACATGCTAGGCCCTTCTCCTTGAAATGTTGCACACGCTAGGCCCGCGTTCTTGAATTTTTGCACACGCTAGGACCTTGTTCTTGCAATTTTGCACACGCTAGGCCCTTGTTCTTCCAATTTTGCACATGCTAGGCCCTTGTTCTTCCAATTTTGCAAACGCAAGGCCCTTGTTCTTCCAATTTAGCACACGCTAGGCCCTTGTTTTTGCAATTTTACACACGCTAGTCCCTTGTTCTTGCTATTTCGCACACGCTAGGCCCTTGTTCTTTCAATTTTACACACGCTAGGTCCTTGTTCGTGCAATTTTGCACACGCTAGGACCTTGTTCTCGCAATTTTGCACACGCTAGGCCCTTGTTCTTGAAATTTTGCACACGCTAGGCCCTTGTTCTTCTAGTTTTGCACACGCTAAGCTCTTGTTCTTCCAATGTTGCACACGCTAGGCCCTTGTTCTTCCAATTTCGCACACGCTAGGCCCTTGTTCTTGCAATTTGGCACACGCTAGGCCCTTGTTCTTGCTATTTCGCACACGCTAGCCCCTTGTTCTTCCAATTTTGCACACGCTAGGCCCTTGTTCTTGCAATTTTGCACATGCTATGCCCTTGTTCTTGCTATTTTGCACACGCTAGGCCCTTCTCCTTGAAATGTTGCACACGCTAGGCCCTTGTTCTTGAATTTTTGCACACGCTAGGACCTTGTTCTTGCAATTTTGCACACGCTAGGCCCTTGTTCTTCCAATTTTTCACTCGCTAGGCCCTTGTTCTTCCAATTTTGCACATGCTAGGCCCTTGTTCTTCCAATTTTGCACAAGCTAGGCCCTTGTTCTTCCAATTTCGCACACGCTAGGCCCTTGTTCTTGCAATTTTGCACACGCTAGTCCCTTGTACTTGCTATTTCGCACACGCTAGGTTCTTGTTCTTCCAATTTTGCACTCGCTAGGTCCTTGTTCTTGCAATTTTGCACACGCTAGGCCCTTGTTCTTCCAATTTTTCACACGCTAGGCCCTTGTTCTTGCAATTTTGCACATGCTAGGCCCT